TATACTTTGGGGAGGTATAGCGATGAAGCGAAGTTGGATTTGGTGCCGTTGTGTTTGCAAGGCGCACCTAAGAAGTGGTTTGCGTGGGTGATGAATCGTGGAGGTTTTCAGAGCTGGCGAGATTTTGTTGCGAGATTGTTGACAAGGTTCTCTGAATCCATTGATGATGAACCTGCAACAAGATTATTTGCTATTAAGCAGACTGGTACGGTGGCTGAGTATGTTTCTGAGTTTGAAGAGCTATCTTCCCCGGTACCAGGGGTAGCAGATGATCATTTGGAGCGAATATTTTACAATGGATTGACAATTGAGATGAAGGAGGTGATTAGGATGAAAGATCCTCAAGGCTTGCAAAACTACATTGCAGCAGTTTTGAGAATGGAGAGTAGCGCATTTTGCAAAGTCGTTGGTGATGCTAATGTAGGAGAGGAACGTTTGGGTCAAAAGAAGCAATCTAATTCTCGTTATCAGGGGGTGGTGTTCAAAGTAGAGCACAGGAACGGTTAAGGATTGATAATGGGGGTAAGAAAGAGAATGTTCCTCCCCAACGTACATTGCAACGAGCTAGGAGGTATACTGATGCTGAATTAGATGCTATGCGCCGGGATGGACTATGTTTTATTTGCAAAGCTCCTTGGTCCAAGACGCATGACTGTCCAAATAAGGAGTTACGTATTTTGACAGTCATCAATGGATGTGAGATGGAGGTGTTAGAACAACCAGATTATGATTTAGAGGAGGGACAATCGAGTGGAGTTCAACAATTGATGACACTCTCTTTCAATTCTTTTGTGGGGATTGATTCACCAAAAACGACGAAGTTACGAGGTGTCATTAACCAACGGGAGGTGATTGTGATGATTGATAGTGGTGCATCTCACAATTTTCTGTCTCCTGAGGTGGTGAGTAGGTTGAAGTTGTCAGTGGGAATGGAGAACAAGTTGGAGGTTTTGCTTGGAAATGGGGTGACAGTGAGAGCATTGGGGATATGTCGTGGTGTCTCTTTACAGCTCCAGTCTGCTGCCTTTATTTCCGATTTTATAGCTCTGGAACTGGGCTCTGTGGATGTGATTTTGGGTGTGCAATGGTTAGAGACTTTGGGGAAGTGTGAAGTGGATTGGAAGCACAAAGAATTTTTGTTCATGTTTCAAGGGAAACGCATTGTGCTATATGGTGACCGTGATTTGCATCGGAGTGATCAGTCTTTGAAGTCTATCTCTTTTGATGTGAAGGATGAGAGGCAAACTGAAAATGTGGTGGTCCATGTTATGGAGAACAAAGTGAGTTCGCAGGAGACTCCGAGGTTGGTATCTGCGTTGCTTGAGAAATTTGCTGATGTCTTTGCAATACCAACATCCTTACCTCCTGTGCGTGGGACAGAGCATTCGATACTATTGGTTCCTGGAGTTTCAGCAGTATCGGTGCAACCTTACAGATATCCCCATGCACGAAAGGTGGTCATGGAAGAGATGGTTTCTGAGATGTTGAAGTCTGGAATCATACGTCCGAGTGACAGTCCTTTCTCGAGTCCAGTCCTTTTGGTGAAGAAAAAAGATGGGAGCTTCCGTTTCTGTGTTGACTATAAAGCACTCAACCGAGCTACGGTACCTAACAAGTATCCCATCCCGGTCATTGATCAACTTTTGGATGAACTTCATGGAGCTGCTGTGTTCTCTAAGTTGGATCTTCGATCCGGTTATCATCAGATACGTATGTGTGAGGAGGATGTGAAGAAAAATTTTATAGGACTCTTAGTTCAAAATTTTCAGTGTAGTAATTGTGGTCTATTAAATTTCAGAATCCATGCCTGCATGGCTTGGGTGGGGTTTCTGGTTGTCTCCATTGTCGTATGCTGAGATAGGTTTAACCGCAAATGAATTTTTCGCTCCACGGTCGAGTAAGGTAATGAAAAATAACAAGACTTTAACATATTTTTGTAGCTAAGTTTTACATTATAAAATCCTTATTTTCCTATTATTAGACAACATCTGGAAACATCATAACTTTGGGGGAACAAGTTCTTGATGCTCGCGGTCTGAACTTTGGTGCTCGATCTTACTGGAGTGCAATTGGAGCTTTAATTGGATTTACTCTCTTCTTCAGTATTGTTGTTGTACTGGCATTGACATTTATAAAGAGTAAGTTCACATGAGTTTTATATATAATGTAATGAAGTTGTTTAGAGAATGCTGATTAATTTTGTTGCAATTTCAGCTTCACAGAGGCCTCGTGTGGTGGTTTCTCGTGAGAAGAACCCTCAAATTTCAGAAAAACCTTGCAAACCAAGTTCTAAAAATGCTTTCCGTTTTAAGGATGCAATGCCTTTCGAAACACTAACTTTTACATTTCAGGATGTCCAATATTTCATAGAGACCCCTCAGGTGGAGGAGTATCTATGATCAGTTACTAGTTTTCTTGAATCCTTTAAACAGTAAACATAGTTATAATGTTGGTCTCTCATTTCTGTGAAGGGGAAGAAGCTTCAGCTTCTGTCTGACGTTACAGGCGCATTCAAGCCCGGTATTCTCACTGCTCTAATGGGTGTTAGTGGTGCTGGTAAAACAACTCTGATGGATGTTCTTTCTGGAAGGAAAACAAGCGGTGACATTGAAGGACAAATCCAAGTAGGAGGTTACCGTAAGGTTCAAGAAACATTTGCAAGGGTTTCAGGTTATTGCGAACAGTTTGATGTTCACTCTCCCAACTTAACCATAGAAGAGTCCTTGAAATACTCTGCTTGGCTCCGACTTCCTTCTAGCATCAATGCAGAAACAAAGAGGGTAAGTCATTGTTTGAAAACAAAGCTATTATATCCTTTTAGCTTTCACTTGTCTATGTATTTTCTTGACATTTTTGCTTATAGGAAATAGTCAGAAAAGTTCTTAGACGATAGAGCTGGAGGAGATTAAGGATTCCATAGTAGGACTTCCTGGAGTTAGTGGTTTAACAACAGAACAACGCAAGAGACTAACAATAGCTGTTGAGCTTGTTGCAAATCCTTCAATCATATTCGTGGATGAGCCAACCACAGGACTAGCCGCAAGAGCCGCTGGAATTGTAATGAGAGCTGTGAAGAACATCGCAGAGACTGGCAGAACCGTTGTTTGCACCATTCATCAACCAGGCATAGATATCTTTGAAGCGTTTGATGAGGTAAAGCTCGTGAAAATAGCATTTATGATTTATCTCATTTTATAATCGATTGTTTGAAGTATATTAATGTGACTCTCCAATTGCAGCTGATGAAAAATGGAGGGAAAATTATCTATTGCGGACCTCTTGGACACCATTCGAACAGAGTTATTGAATACTTTATGGTTAGGTTCCAATACAATACTAAGTCTTATTACGGAATACTTTATACATTTTATATTTTACAACCATAACTTGTCAACTGTAGACCATACCTGGAGTTCCGAAAATGAAAGAGGACACTAATCCAGCCACTTGGCTACTAGACATTACTTCTCAATCATCAGAAGACAAGCTTGGTGTAGATTTTGCACAAATCTACAAGGAATCGACTTTGTTCAAGTAAACATTTATAAATGTTGGTTGCTTGAAACTGTTATTATATAACCCCAAGATTGCTTTGCTTTGCTTTGTTTCAGGGAGAACCTAATTGAGCAACAAATGAGATCTACATCTCTGGGATCAGAAGGATTAGTCTTCGCTTCGCGATATGCTCAAACGAGTTGGGAACAGTTCAAGGCATGCCTCTGGAAACAACATCTCTCTTATTGGAGAAACCCTTCATACAACCTCACTCGCATAATCTTTATGTGTGTTACTTCTTTGCTTTGTAGTCTTCTTTTCCAGCAGAAGGCTAAGGAAATGTTAGCCTCGATCTTCTTTCCTCTTGGATGTTCAACTCTTGATTTTGAATGAGAAAATAATATTCAATCTTAGTTTACCTCTCTTGCTTGCTTGCTTGCTTGCTTGCAGAAATAACCAACAAGATCTTTTCAACATATTTGGCTCAATGTTCACGATGGTTTACTTCTCTGGAACAAACAATTGCTCAACATTGTTATTCTGTGTGGCAACTGAACGAAATGTATTTCACCGCGAAAGATTTGCTGGAATGTACACCTCATGGGTGTATTCCCTTGCTCAGTTAAAACACATTTTCTCAGTCGAACCATCAAAGTGGGGAAAAAAAAAGATAAACTAAAGAAATAAATGATTCTATCCTTTGCAGGTGTTGATTGAAATCCCATATTCCAATCTATTTTATGCGTGACAATCGTATATCCTATGGTTGGCTATCACTGGTCAGTCTACAAAGTGTTTTGGAGCTTCTACTCAATCTTCTGCTCGTTGCTGATCTTCAACTACTTTGGCATGCTTTTAGTCGTCGTCACCTCAAACATTGACGTGGCTTTTACTCTCCGCTCGTCCTTTTACTCGATCGTCAATCTCTTTGCTGGTTATGTCATTCCAAAACCTGTAAGTCCTTTCTTACCTTATAGTTTCTATAGGAGTTTCATGACATCATCAAGATAATGAGGAAGTTTATTGATATGCAGAGCATTCCAAAATGGTGGATTTGGATGTATTACTTGAGTCCAACATCATGGGTATTGAACGGGTTGCTCACATCGCAGTATGGAGATACTGAGAAAGAGATATTAGCATTTGGAGCGAAGAAGAAAGTTTCAGATTTTTTGGAACATCATTTTGGTTATAGTTATAGATATGATTCTTTGACTCTTGTAGCTCTTGTTCTCATTGCCTATCCAGTTCTCTTTGCATCTCTTTTCGCCTATTTCATGGGTAAACTCAACTTCCAAAAGAAGTGATTATTGCAGTGCCTTAGAAATCCAGTGATATGACTTTTTGCCTCTTTTTCTCAGTGTCTTCCCTTATTCTCTTTTTGCATTCTTCATAGATGAGCTCAATTTTGAAAAGAAATGATTTCTTGTTATCTTTCACTGGCAAAGTCAGTTGCAGGTTCAGTATGAAGAATAATATTTTGGTATGTAGGAAAAAATTAAAGCTTCAAAATTTGGCGGACAAACTGTTACAATTGTGCCAAAAAAAAAAAAAAAAATCCAACACTTTGAAGAGAGAATGAGATACATCAATGCCTGCACAAGTTTATATACAGAGTTTATATATGGTTCGGACTCGGGTCTCTTCTATGACACTTCTGAGTTGGTCAGGAAAAAAAAGGTAACCCACCTAGAAGCTACAAGACAAAAGCATTAGGTTCTACTGAACATTAGGATTGATTTGGGCAGAGTTCAATCACACATAGGAGTATGGAAAGTCACCTCCGCCATTGGCCTATAGCAGAAGAATCTTAGGCTCAGGCGTTGCTTCGCTGATCCTTGAAGCAAATGGATGAGAAACAAAAGCGCTTAATTGCTCATGGTAATAAGCTCATCAGGCAGACATTGCCTTATGTTAATGACCATTGACGTGTTATACGGCGATGAGATGTCACAGCACTGACGGCGAGGCGGATTCATCTGCCATGAAAGACTTTAGTTTGGCCAAACTAAAAGTATTTCCTTAGAAGCAATGAGTATTTATAAAATTATACCTGTTCAACATTAAGTTTCAGCTTAGGAGACAAAACTCTGATGTATTGTAGTCGCTTCACAGCTTCAGTTCTGTGGCAATTTCCGACACTATGAAGCCTATAGCTACTCCATGTCCCATCAGTCTCATCTGATCCAACACTATCCAAGAAAAAGACGAGCGGTCTCGCACATAGATTCCTGGGATATTCTCTTGTACTGAACATATAATTGCTTCGGACACCTGACCCTCTCCTCCATGTAGAAAATGTCTTTTGCAAGGTGAGAAGATCCGGGAGGAGTTTATTCTCTTCATAGACTTGAATCGCGTAACCCCACACAACCGAAACAGTCACTATGTTTGAAGAATCATAGCACACACTCTGCTGCAATATCCTTGCGGAATCCAAACTTGCAGCCCCGATGAGACGAGCCACGGACTCTGTCCGGTTAGTTTTCGGAAATAATGGATCAACTGCGTCCAAGTGGTGAAGTGATACCAATGGAGCTAAAGGGTGCGCACATAGCAGTCCAAACAGGTTCCCTCTTACATCAATCTATGAAAAAAAGAGCAGATATATAGTAATGTTCAGACACTAAGTACACTTACCGAAAACCAACCAAACAAGGCATGTAAACTAATACTTGAGTTATTGAACGTAAATTTCCAAATATAGAAACACTCTGCTGTTCATCAATCATGGTTGAAAATAGTAAATATGTTCAGATATTAACTACACTTATCCAAAACAAACCAAACAAGGCAGGTAAAGTTTTATTGAACTAAACTTTCCAAATATAGAAACTGTCTCAATCATTGTCAAAACTTAGAAAGATTGTAAGTTTGTAGTTACCTGATGAAACCCAGGTTCGTGGGTGAGGGCAACACCAAGCTCAGCTAAGCAAGAGAAGATCCTGGAGTCACTTCCATACATATGCGCATACCTCATCAAACAAGAATCCAAAACCTTAGCAAGAACCTTCCCAAGCGAGGCACTGATAGCGAACCCTCCACCACCAAACGCCATATCAAAAGAATACCTCACGTTCTGATCATAGAACTCCGAGTTACTCCCGACATACCACCACTTCCGGTAGTCGTACTTAGACAAAACCGTCACAAGATTGTCCACAAAGAAGACAGTGTCGTCATCTCCGAACACGAACCACCGCACGTCTTTATCTCCCCGATCCACCGTCTCCTTAACTACGCGAGCGACTCGGATCGCCGAGCGGAGACCGCCGGGGAAGTTGTAAGGAAACCTAGAGACGTCTTGGGAGACGAGTGGTGGAGGGAGGGTGGGATCGGGATCGAGTCCACCGCGATCGAGGAAGACGATGGCGCGTGTGGAGTCGGGAGTGTACCAGAGACGGACGTAGGAGCTGCGGCGGAGCCAGGAGTCGTGAGAGGCGGCGATTGAGAAGAGTAGGTGACGGCGTTGGGTGGAGAATAGAGGCAAGGAGCGAGCGATCGATGAGATTTGGTCGCGGCGGAAGGTGCAGTAGGTGAAGACGGTGAAGACGATGGAGCAGAAGATGAGGAGTAAGAAGATGTTTCTGACGCGGGGAGAGATTAGCGGAGGAGATTTGGATGGAAAGGGCATCTCAGGCGAGAGGGAATCGAGCCTAGAGAGAGGTGGATCAGGTCGTCTCTTTCGTCTCGTCTGGTTCATTTCTGTAACTTTATGTCTTTTTTCTCTCCCTCTTTCCGTGAATTCGTCGACGCTTATGTTTCTCGGAACCTAAAAGGTGAAACCGTCTCCGTTACAGTGAATGGTTTCAGTTTCACGGGTCAGGTACCAGATTCGGTCCGGCTCCAATCGTCGAACCTGCTAGCTGAGACAGAGATTTAGGTGTTTTCTTTTTTATACTTTAACGATGAACCACGCTATATAGTGAATACTGAATATCCTCCATAATCGGTGATATAATTACTAATGCCTGAAATATTCTTTTAAGCAAAAAAAAAAAGAACATTACAACTATTAGAATGATTCTTTATAAATGTATAAGTTAGCTTATCTAAATATATATTATATTTTTATTAAATTAACTATCCAATTGATTTTTAAATGTATAACGTTTTTTATTATTTCCTTAAATAAACATTATGAATTTATCTAATATGATCTATACAATACTATTTTTTGAAAAGTGAATTTAATTCTTTGTTATTTTCTCCATGATTTTAAGATAAGTCATTAATTAATTATTTAATTAATATTATTATCATCTAAATTTTTATTAATATATATACATATCATATTTTCAAGATAATTAATAAATATTAACCTATTCAACCATATATACTACTATTGTTTTAAGTATATATTTTAATATATATCGATATCATGATATTTAAAATATTTAATTAACAAATTGATATTAACAAATAAAGGTTACCTTTCTTTTATCCTCAAAATGAGTTAAACTTAAAATGGGTTTGTATTTTACTCAATTAATCTCTCTCATTTTTTTCGTTAGGAAAACATTTTTTCTCAATCAAATTTTGATATTAACAATATCTACCGATAATATCATAATTATGTTTACCTTATAGTATTTTATTTCTGATTTCAATGATTAATATTATAGCTAGTTTCTCTTACTTTTATTAGAAATATGATCCAAACAATTAGTACAATATTCGAATTAAGATTACAGGTAAACTATCATTGAAAATATATTGCAAAATATAAATTCTTTACTTATGTTACAAATATTAATAATCATATTCTCAACCTAAATAATTTAATTTGTATTTTTGTACATGACAAACATCAAAAATGTTATCAAAGTAATATATTTATACAAAAATAGTAAATATTATACAAACTACACAATAAAAATTAACTTCAAATATTAAAAATACGTAGAAGCATGAAAAACTAGGATTAATTGATTAAAGCATTAAATAACTCTAAATTTGACAAATAATAAAAATATAATCTAAGAGAATACATAAATATTATTTGTAATTCATTATTTTGTGTTTTTGTCTCATTGCTTTTAAAATCTAAATTATAGAGAATATAGAATGTTTGTTGGCTATTCTAATTTTTGTTAATGTTTTATGGGTTGTGATTGTTTATAATCATTTTCTTTCAGTGCGGTTGGATTTCTTTTCAGTCCACATATATGAAAAAGAAGTTTTTAATTTCAAGTCTAAGGTTCCTAATTTGATTATTACTATAAAATGATTTTTATCCAACATCTACATCGCATAAATAACACTTTGAAAAAAATATAATTTAATACATATATTACCAATATGAATATTGAAATTTTATAAGTTATAATATTAATTTTAAATTTATATCTAATTTAATAATTTCACTTTTTATAAAAAAAATAAAAATTGTTTTGTATATAGATGGAATTTGTCAAATATGACTCAAAACTTGATTTTAAATGCAAAAAATACTTAAATTTCAATCAAAGCAAAAGTAACTTAAAAGACTAATGAAATTACAAATATCCCCTCATGACCAAACAAAAACAAAATGGAAATGTACCATTACAAATCTATAAGCGCGTGAGAAGACTTTCAGAGAAGTCTTCTCAGATTTCTCAGAGAAGATTTTTCTGAAAGTCTTCTCATACCATAGATCTTAAGAAATAATTTATAAGTTTTATAAAAAAATGTTTTTAATTAGGAAAAACAAAATCATGTAATTATAGATATTTTTAAATGATGTAAATTTAAATTTACTAAAATTGAATAGTTTTCAATATAGATGAGTGAATGTAAGTTGAGTCATGATATTCTTTGGTTGAGGATTTGGTATCCATGTTATAATATTGTTTGTGTTTTTAGGATTAGATTGTGAAATTTTAACTTTTAAATTTTTTTTTAACATATATGTATCTAGTTTTGTGTATATTAAACACTTTAGAAGTTAATTTAATAAAAAATGACTTAGTTATATATTTGAGTTTGGGGTTTGGAAGACTTGAATTTTCTTAAATATAATGCAGTAGAAGAGGTCCTAGAAGACTTAACAATAAAGTCTACCATTTCCCACTTAAGTTTTCAAAGAATTTAGATTTCCCGCTTACTAAGTCTTCCAATAAGTCTTCTAGAATAAGTCTTCTCATGTATCAGATCTTAAAAATAATTTTATGAATTTCATAAGAAAATATTTTAGGAAAAAATCAATATAATCTAATTAGACATTGTAAGTGATGTAAATTTATATTTATAAAATTGAATTATTTCCAACATATATGAATGAATGTAAATTGAGTGAATATATTATTTGGTTGAGGGATTGGTAACATATACTATAGTATTGTTTGTATTCTTTAGGGTAAGATTTTAGAATCTTAACATTTTTGAAAATATTTAAATTTTACATATATGTTTCTAGTTTTGTGTATATTAAGCATTTTATAAGTTGATTTTAGGTTTAATGAAGTTTTTTTTTTGAGATTTAGTTAGTTATTTGATTGTAGAGTTTAGTTGACTTATTAAAAATGTTTCTAGCAAAAATGCAATAGAAAACTTCAATGTAAATCTTCTAGGCAAATAGTAAATTTAGGGTCTAGAAAACTTCCTCAAAGACTTACATGAAAGTCTTCTGTATTAAAAATATTTAACTTAATTAGAATTTTTGTATTTCTTATATAAAGATACTAGGGCCGGCCCGCCCTATGAATATTTTGTTTTTTGTTTTTTTTTAACTATCACTATTATATTTATGTATATCGTATTATGTTAAATAATTAATACTATATTTATTATATTTTATGGGGCTATGTGATGTATATAATTATATTACTGTAAATTTTCACTGAGTGTGTTTTATATTTGTTAAATGATATTGTGTTATATTTATTTTCAGGTTCAATAGTTTGGTTATATATATATATATATATATTCTTTGTTATTCATCCTATCCGTGAATTTTTTGTTAATTATTAGAAGATTGAGAATCAAAGTTGTTGTTGAATAAATTTCATATACAATAGTTATGATTGTTTGAATGGACCATTGTTCATTTTTTTATTTTAGCAGAGTAATTATTTTAGTTTGTTAGTCTTTTGGTAAGTCATCTATTATCATGTCACATGTTATGTGTTCCTTATATGATTGTTGTATAATGTGGTGTTCTTTTGCACTATAATTCTTTTTTTTTTGTGAAAACACTATACAAATATTTAATTTAAATTTATTTAGATTATGGGATTATGCTAGACATTTTTCTTTTACTTTGAATTCATTTTTTAAAAAACTTTCTACACATATCTGGTCACGATACTTTACATCTACTCCTTAAATTAGGTAAACAATTTTTATATGTATATATCATATTAGTAGGTATACTTTTTAATGTTGTTGGGGTGGTATATAATCATTGTTTTTGTATTCTTAAAAATTTCAAATAGCATGGTAGTTTTTCGATGCGTCTCCAGTATTGATCAACTCTCGTTTTAATTAGTTTTCATCCAAGCATACCAAAGCATGCTTTACTAATCTTGGGCTTTCCTTTGCATAATATTTGTATGCCATATCGATAAATGTTATTGTCGTATTAACCAACCCTTGTATGATTGTATCCATTTACATTATAATAGGCTCAAACTGGCCACTCGTTTTAGAAAAGGTTTAACTCATGTAGAACCCAGTTTGGTTAAACCAATTCCATAGCTTGCGGAAATAGTACACGATCACACGGCTATCAATGGAAAATAACTTTATATTACAGGCACCTCTCAGATTTCATTATTTAACCAATGTTATTTATTAAAAATTACAAATACTCCCACATCGTCTCATGTACTTAAACATGTAGGAAAATAACGACATCAGATAAATATAAGACAAATCAGTCTAAAGATATTAGGTATGTCTAAGCTTAGTACAGAAGTTCTCTTACTTTTCCTTTTGCAGAGTTTCCTCAGTTGTTCACATCTCCATCAATGAAAGTTAAATTAAAGAAAAACCAACATATGTAGCAGAAAGATTCTTCTCCATCCAACTCTAACTTGCTTATTCGCTTCTTCTCCAATCCACCATACGGTTACTCACCTCCAAAAACCATCTCTATAACAATCCCACCTTAAAGAGAAATTTTCAAATGTTAATATACACTTTAATAATGATGAACAGAGAAGTTTGCTTTTGAGAAAAGAACATACATGTAAGCAAGTTGTATACGGACTAATGAGCTCTGAACTTTTCTTAAACACCCCACCAAGGTCTTGTCCTATGCTGCAGTCATGTTTCGGTCACCATAACCATCAAGGCATCAAACCATGTCTTTTTTAATAACTAACCATATAAAAACCACCAAAAAATGTCCTTTAATAACTTCTAAAAATATAATATGAAAGGCAATAAGAAGTTGATGTCTGTTTATTACCTCTGAGGCTTTGTAATATATGAGAATCTGATGGTTTTTTACATCTGCATAGAAAAGAAAACATTTATATTTAAGACATCCGAAACAGCATATAAGTAACAAAAAGAACCATCAAGCAAGTAACTTGAGCTATAGCCTTAGAACTAATGTCTGAAGTCCATTTAATGGACAGTTACAGAGCCAAATTAGCTGGTAATGTGAGATGTCAGATATATCTTATAGTAGTTATGTCGTTTTAAAGTGAACCCCATATGAATCTAAGATTTAGTTAACAAAGGAGCTAATCAAATTACCTTAACCAACTTCATTGTAATAGGTGATATTTCTTTTCTGGCTTAATATGAGGGCTGATGTTGCAGATCTTGAGGAGTTGGATATAACCTTCTCAAGAAACGACAAATTAGTCGACCAGTTTTTAGAAAATACATGCGAAAAACACACAACCAGATAACAAATGTACATACCTCAAAGGTGGTTGTAGTTTAAGAGACATGT